GATGTGAGTGCTATGGTTATTATCTATTCTATAAAAGAGATATTGCAAATATACAGTGTTTAGATCATGAGGCCTGAAGTGTATAAAACTACTCTAATGGCTATAACTTCAAAATGCCTTAATGTTGTAGGGACTCATTAATTAGAAGAGTTCATTACAGAATACAGTAATGCGCTTTCATTTTATCATGACTTGCACTCTGACTTGATTATTGTACTTCATTTCCTAATGCATGCTGGGGCATTCGTTAACATTACTAGAGGTTATTGCCATGCTAGTATTGCAGTACTGTATCCTGCATGTCTACATGTTAGTGTAGCTATTATTGTTTTAATATGCAAAAGTGCTATGTTTACTATTTGCTTTTAACTATGTAACCCTTTTAGTTATCGCCATGGACAGCTTCAGGACCAGAGGCCTGTAGTCTGCCACTGTCCTGGCCTGATGCCCCTGGGTCAACAATGATCGCCACCCCGCCGGCGGGGGCACATCCCTCTTATCAGCATCACTCTCCTGCTCCATTCAGGGCCTTGCCCTCACCTCTCTCTATTAGCCAGTGGCCTGGGTTTTTCTTTCCCCTTCCTCCAGGAGTCTTTGCCTTTCCTGCTGTGGCCTCAGCTCAGGATACCCACAGCTCCATTCCAGCACCATCATATCAGCCAACTGACCCCAAGGCGAGGACTCTTTAATCTCTGTAGCATTGTGTCTTCCAACTCCGTTACCAAAAATATATCTCATTGTAGTTCTAGTCAATCTGTACATAATAGTGTAAATATATATAACCAGCACGTATGTAATCATATGTACATACTCATCCTTAGTCTTTTTGTTATTTGTGTCATTTTGCATCAACATACCTCATGTCCGTATTACAATGCATAATCCTTGAGTGCAGTCCACTTGTAATTAGCTGAATCGTGCATTAAAGTGCAGATTTCTTTTTCTGTATGTGCATTGAATGTACATACTGTATTTCTCATTCATATTGTGTTTTCAGTTAAACAGCTGATGTTTGTGTTGCTCATCTCACTCATATATATATAAGCTGCCGAGTGTATATATGAATTATCGTCAGTCTGTAAATAGCTCCTGTGTTTGTACAGTTACCATTAGATAATCTGTAGGTTGGTGCTGCAGTTACGTGTCTTAATGCAACACCTTATTTGCCACCATCATGCCATCACTGTGAAGACTTGACATCCTGGTCACTAAGGCCAGTCGCTTTACTCTCTCTCAGTCCAAGGATAGGTTTCATTCTTCATCGATGAAATGCTTCCAGCACAAGCGCTTGAAATATCCTTAAGAGATTTGAATGAACTTGAACTTTATCTTCAGGTGGAAAAGAAAAACACCTGTGAGAGTGCCTTGAAATGCAGTTTCTGTTTTTTTGAAGAAAAGCATTTAGATTCAAAGCATACTCTAGATATATTCTATATAAGCTTTCACCTTCACAGGTAAATTATGTGATTTGAATAATGAATGTGGATTAAAACATGTTTAATTTAGCAACAAAACACAGCTAAACACTACAATCCGGTGTTGCGGTACATTAAATATCAGAGATTGTAAAAAGATTAATGAATATCCAAAGCTGAATTAGGTTAGCATATACTTGTGTAAGTTTCCTTGTTCACTGAAGTCATGTTCTTGTGGGATTGCTTTAGCACCTGCACAGCAGCCTGCATGACCACACGGATGTTCTCTGAATCCCCACTGAGTGGTGTTCTGTGTTTAGAGTGGATGTTGTTCAGAGAAAGTAATTGAAATCATACATAAGGAGGGCTGAAGGACTCAACACGAGTCAAAATCATAATCATCCCATACCTCTACTAATGCAATCTGTAGCTTTACATATTGTTGCCTTGTGGTTTTTAAGAGATTACTGCGTGGATGGTTGTCGTTTGATAAATGCTGTTGATGTGATAATATTAGGGGGGCACATGACGAATGTGAATTACCGAAAAGCCACAACTGTTTGATGTTTCCGTAATAGGCTTAGGTTTTCAAAATTGTATTTATTAGATGCTGGCCTTTTAGCTCATGCTTATACGTATTAAGGCTAAAATGATTCAAGGATTTCCAAAAAATATAGTGCTTTCACTATTTTAGTCAAAAACAATACTTTAATACATCTCTTGCATAAATCATTTACTCCCTTACAAGAGTTCTGGGGTTGCATAAGTCATTTTGTGTATTTTTGAGTGCAAATGGCACAGTCATCTTAAGAAAACACTTGCTTTTATAAATGTGGTCCCTTGTTTCCCCGTGTAAAACTACACAGTCAGTATGGTAAGCCAAGCAGTTCTGTAAAGGCACGATAAACACTTTTGGGGAACCAAAACAGAAATCTTCTATTTGCAGAATTAGAGGACGCTAAATTTCCCATAATGCAACACAGTAGCATCTTTACATCATCAGGGTTGTTATCTTTCAACCTTTAAAAAAATATTTTCAAATTCACAAAACACATTACGCAGACTGAGTATAACACATCATAAACTGAACCTTAAATGTAAAATCATTGGCATGACCCTTTAAAATTGTTTCACTTTTGCACATTAGAGAGTAATTGAAAATGGATTATTTGTCTATAAGGTAGATCTTTAATAATGACCTAGATATTTTTTTTAATCTCCTATGCAGTAGTTTTCTTTGTGCTTTCCACTGTAACTTCTGTCTTTAAATCTAATGCTTGCAATGACAGCTAGATGTATGATTGCTTTTGCCTGCTATATCACCTGTTTTCCCAGCAGTTTCCTGACCTTGTCAGATTGATACCTTCTCAAAAAAAAGCTGTACATACTTGAAGACATAAATAAATTCATTTTTGCTTGACACCACACAATATTAGTCACATACTGCTTTCATTAGTAGTCACAAGCCAAATTGTCTCTGGGTCTTTAGTCTTCTCCACTCTAATTCGCCAAAACAGTATTGCTTATTACAAATGAAAAGACAGTTTTGCAAATGCAGTTCTGGGAAAGTTATCACTCTATATTTCACCAAACAGAGGCTAAAATCTATGTTAAAATCCACATTTCACCACTGGTATTTGTATTTCACTAATAATAGGAGATTTCTGAGGTGTTTACTTAAAGTTTTTGTGTATTAGTATCTTTCTGTCAGGCATAATACACTTGACACTGCAGTTTGAAGATCATCCTGATCTTGATTGTGGCTCAAAGAGTTTGCAGTTCGTCTTGTAACCGGAAGGTTGCCAGTTTGAGCCCCGGCTCGGACAGTCTCAGTCGTTGTGTCCTTGGGCAAGACACTTCACCTACCGCCTCTGTCAGTCTGCCCCAAGGCAGCTGTGGCTACAACTGTAGCTTGCCTCCACCAGTGTGTGAATGAATAATGGAATTGTAAAGCGCTTTGAGGGCCTCAAAAAGCGCTATATAAATGCAATCCATTATTGTTATTATTATTATTGTCCAAGGAAATCTAAAAAGTAGAACTCCAGAATTACACAAATTGTCAAGGTGTCTTGGAAGCATTTCTAAATAACTGGAGATTCCAAGATTGTTAGTTTAAACAGTTGTATATATACACAAGTCAATCTGGATGTGTCACCACATTGCCAAGGTCTTAAAGAAAGCCAGCAGCCACCCTCAGATGTGAGGAAATTAGTGATGTTCAGGAACAACACTGGATCTACCAATGTTCAAGTACGCTATCAACTGGAAACTGGTTTCATCATCGACCAAGACATGTTGACCAAGAAAGAAACCCCTGCTCCAAATTCCACAGATTTAATATTGATTGAAACCTGCAGCTGCCCACATGGGCAAGCAAACTGGCTTCTAGAAAAAATGTTTTGGACAGATGGAGAAAAGATTGTGCTACTTGGCCACAATGACAAGAGGTATGTTTGGAGGAGTAAAGGTGAGGCTAAGAAACCTGAAAACTCTGTACCCGCAGTCAAGCATGGTGGTGGTAGTGTCGTGGTCTGGAGCTGTTTTGTTGCTAGTGGTACTGCAACACTGCACAAGGTGGATGAAATAATGAAGCAGGAGCAGGAGGACTCCACATATGTTGACTTGGAGGTGATTTGGACACAGCTGGGTGTTCCAACAGAATGCTAATCTGAAGCACACGCCAATTACAGTTTTGGATAAAGAAAGCAAACATCTGCAATGGCCAAAGCTTCAGCCTTAATCCTATGTGGACAACACTTAAAAGCTGGCTCTATGCAAAGAAACTAATTTAAATGAACTCAGTTATGCCAATTATGCCAAGAAGAGTGGTTAAATATCCAGCCAAGTTATGCCAGAAGCTTGTTAATTGCTACCAAAAGCATTTGGCTTGGGTTCAATTTGCGAAACGACTTTAAACCAAATATTAATGATGGTGTATGTATAGATTTGACACTGTGTGGATTAGATAAAATTTAAAATAAATTTAAAAAATAATCCAATTCATGCTTTTTAAAGTCGTTAAAGATGAATGCTGTATTCAACCTTGGAAAAAGAACTTTTCAAGTAAATCATTAAAAGCCCCAAATAACCATGATATTCATGCCAGTGATGAATGCTTTATCTAATGCTTGCAATGAAACCTTCAAGGCTGTTTTTCCCAGCACCTTTCAGATGGTTTCAGAATGGCACAGTCTCAACTACATACTTTAAGTCATAAATATTTTTTTTGCCCTAAACAAAACATTATTACTTACAGTCACTAGTAATGGAAAGACAAATTATTGCCAAGACAGGAAACAGAATTTCCTGTCACTAATGAAAAGACAGCCGTGGGACCAAAGTCCTGGTAAAGTGCAAAGGTTTGACCCTCAATGTAAACATGAACTCCCACAGAAACTGCTGGACTTCTGGTAAATTACTGATTTACTTATGCGAGTGGGTGTTTTTGTCACAGACAGTTGTTGAAACTGGAGATAGGGAAAACAGAGTTTGAACTTTAAAAAAATAGGTACACAATAACGCTGTCCTTGTTTGAGTTCAAAAGAGTGTTTTGGCTGTTTTGCTGGCATTTTGGTTGGAGGCGTCATGGGGAGAACCGTGGTGCAAATCACCTTCATCATATTCCTGCTGGCTTTGGCTTCCACACAGCCAAACAAGGTAAGTTCAGTACACATAAAGGGCAGCAACAGTATTTCAATGTAACAAAATCCTTAAAAAGTGCTATTTATACTTCACAGATAACAAGAGATTTATGAGGTACATTGATTTTTATCTCTCTTGGCGTCTTTCAGTCAGGTGAAATACACTGAACTTTGCAGGGTGAAGGTCCTTTTGACTTCTTCCTCCAGGGTTACTTCATGTTGGTCCTATTACATGATAATAATTTAACATAAGGACTGGAATAAGCTTAAGCCTTTAAGTAACAGATAGAAGATAATGTAATGACACCTGAAGTGAAGAAATCCTGAATGTGTGCATGTTTACTGTATCCTTTGTCTAGAGTCAGAGTATAAAGTAGTCTATTAGCTCATTTTAATGTTTAAAGATATACATTTAATAACAGTGATGGTTAGTGCTAGATTAAGTGATTTATCATCATCCACAAAAACAAAACAAAACAAAACAAAACAAAAATCAACACATAGCACAGTGTAAAACTCTGTTTCCATGTATTTACTGCATCCTGGTGAACTGTTGGCATTTATCAGGTTGCAATAAATATTTGATAATTTATTGCACCCAGCAGCTGCAGTGTGTCAGCTGGTGATTCTATTAATTCATTTATTTCCATGTGTTGATGTTTTTCAGCACATAACCAGTCACATTTATGGTGTGGATGTGTATCTATTTCCCTCATGGCGATGATATCATCCAAAAACAAATTCTTTTTCTGCTAAATTTGACCTTTGGTCAGCTGCTAAGCTCAGTTAACCATTATGTTTTCGGTGAAATGTGCCCCCCTGTGTTTGCTCAGGATGACTGGGACATCTACAGCTTTCACATCAACTCCACAGTGACCAGTCGTTATGCCACCACTGTCATCACAAGCCGTGTGGCCAATCGTATGAACGAGTCAAAGGAAATTGAATTTCATGTTCAGATTCCCAAGAATGCCTTCATCAGTAAATTTCGAATGTGTGTGAAGTTAAAATAATGTGTAACCATCCAGAGATATTTGCAAATAATGAATTCTACAGTGAAGAATAAATGACAGGATACTCAGTAGTATGTGCATTTACACAAGGGCTTTTCTTGGTCCTTTTCAGGTTTATCGATGGCCAGGTTTATGATGGTGTTGTAAAAGCTAAGGAGCAAGCTCAGCAGCAGTACACTGAAGCTGTGTCCCGTGGTGAAAGTGCTGGACTTGTCAGGTATTAACTAAATGATTAAATGATAGGTATTGTACAAATACACTGAGTGTTCCTTTGAATAAAGAAGAAGAAAAAGAAAATATTTCTGTCATTCAAAATTAGTTTGGTCTGTTCTTGTGTTTTCTCTTCTTTCTTCATTTCTCTAAAATAATGTTAATGCGAATAGGAAAATATATTTAGAGTTAATCTTATTCTCTGCTCAGGTCCAAACTACAGCCATAATTGCAATTTAGTGAGATCATTTTTTTCTGCTTTAGTTCTGTAGGGAGGACACTGGAGGAATTTAAGACCTCTGTAACTGTGGCTGCTCACAAAAAGGTCACTTTTGAACTCACATATGAGGAATTAATGAAACGCACACATGGCAAGTACGAGCTGCAAATTCATGCTCGACCCACACAGCCTGTCAGTGACTTCAAGGTGACTGTCTTATTGGTATCTATTAGTGAAAAATGCTGAGATAACAGCACACATGATGAGATCTTTTATTTTTATTATATTGTATTTATTACCAGGTGGATGTGTACATTCACGAGGAAGCTGGCATCAGTTTCATCAATGTGAAAGGAGGCCTGAGCACCAATGCCCTCGCTAATGCCATCACCAAAACACATGCAGATAAACAGGTACTGAAATCTTTTTTGTTGCAGAACAGTAAAAAAAACACGAGCTTTCTAACAAGAGACAGTTTGAGGTACTAACAGCTTGATCTCAGTGTAAAATGAATGACTATAAAATGAGTAAAATGCACAAATAACCATTATGGTAACAATGATATTTCTTCCAACATTATGGCTCATTTCTCATCCTTGTACACAACACAAATGCTAGCAAAGTTCTGATGTCTGGCGTAATGTAGATGGCAGCACATCGTGCTTCCAAATCGTAAAAATCCTACAGCAGTTTATTAACTAGAGATCACTTGGAAGAACTGAACATGATTTACAGAATTTACATGAGATACAGAATTGGATTAATAATTATTTGGCGATTAGATTCTGATGAACCATCATAGTATAATGAGGTCCCAGCAATGATAGGCATATGGGCAGGATCCCCATGGATTCTAGATGCCAGTGAAGGTGAAGGTGAAGATGGAGACATGGATGCTCCTCTGAATGATCAGTCGGAGGTGGACATGGTGATGAGACAGGCTGGATGAATGAATGGCAGAAGAGAACTGAGATTTTAAAACACACCAAACAAAGTCTGATTGGCTCATAAAAGGTTTGGAAGAAAATGATTGGACTAGAAAAATGCTGTCAGCACCAGTGTTTGGGTCACTACTCAAAAAAAATAAACTATCACACAATACTTAACAAAAAAACAGTAATGTAGAACATTACTTTCTTACTTGCAGGAGAAGGTAATTTGTTGCATTACTTGTTAAATTACTTGTTACATTACTTGTTAAATTACGTTATCATCACTCCATAAAATGACCTGAAACAGTTACATAATTACCAGAAAACAACAGAAACCTGAGGCTACAGTCCCACACACAAACACAGATCCCTATCATATTGCGGATGAAGACAGTCTTGCTTTTAGTGTTTACAGATGAACACAAAGCAGAGAAAAAACAGCCCAAAGAGACTAGAAAAGAGGCTGGTTTCTAAATCTTCTTAATATGTTTTTTTCTGTACATGGCTAAGTTTTAACCCACATTTGTCTTTGCAGCAGTGAAGTGTTTTTGGTTTTCTGAAGTATTCACGATGCAGTGGTTCAAATACATATTGTCATGGTCCGGAGTCTGTGACTCCGTGTTTATGTTAAGTTTATTATTATTCTGTGGTTTTGGTTATCTTGGGTTTTTGTACTCTTCTGTTTCACATTTCATGTTCCTATGTCGGTGTCCTCCAGTCTGTGTTTAGTTGGTGTGTGTCGTGTTCAGTCGGTGTGTTTCCTGTTTTACTTTGAAGGTCTCTGTCTGATGTCAGTGTGTTCTGTTTACGTTTCCCCTGCCTCGTCAGCAGTTATGTCTCCCAAGTGTGTTTCCCTCCTGTTTCCCATCCCCTGATTACTGGTGTGTGTAAGTGTGTGTTCCCTCATCCTCGTTGCTGGTTCGTCTGCTTCTCTCCGTCCGTCTTCCTGTGTATTTTCCTGTGCCTCCCTGCATATCTCTTTCCGGTTAGTTTCAGTTAGTTTTTCCAGTTTAGGTTTTCTTAGTTTCATGTTTCACTCTCGCCATCTCTGTTGTATCCACTGTTGGTAAATAAAGTCACTTGCACCACTGCTGCCGCATCTTGGGTCCTTATAATTCACAAATTCACAATTCAAAAACATAATTTCAGTAGTTTACTAATCATTTAATTCTGTTTGCATTTACATTTTCAGCAGATCATGTATACAGAAAATAAAATCACTGACATCGCTCTCTACCAAGTTCCTAAACTCTGTGATTCACTCTGTTTCCAGGCGTGGGTGTATTTCTATCCAACAGTCGACCAACAGAAAATGTGTGACAGCTGTGGAGATCAAGGTATGAATGGAGATCTGGTTATAGTTTACGACGTTAACAGGGATAATGGACTGGGACACATCAAGGTAAACCCTGGTCTTTTAGCAACACAAACCGTATGACTTGGGCTAAAAAGCTTCTTGAATAATCCTATAACCAATCAAGTTTTGTTTTTTGTTTTTTTCATAACGCCGCCTTAGAAATCTGACGGGTACTTTGTTCATCATTTTGCACCATCTGATCTTCCACGGATACCAAAAAATGTCGTCTTTGTTATTGATCAAAGTGGCTCAATGGAGGGCAGAAAAATTGAGCAGGTAAAGTATTTGAAGGGTCAGTTTCTCATATGATTTTATACATTTTTTCTCTTTTTTTACATTTTTAATGAAAAGAAAAACAATATGTAGCCATGAATTATGTTTTCTTAACCAGACTAGGACCGCATTAATCCACATTCTGAATGATCTGGCAGAAGATGATCACTTTGGTCTGATCACTTTTGATGACAGAATTTCTTACTGGAAGCAAGAACTCGTTCAGGCCAACAGCAAAAACCTGGAAAGTGCCAAAAACTTTGCACGCAATATTCAACACAGAGGATGTGAGAAGTTGCAGTAAATACACATTTTGGAATAGCAACAGTTGGGAGGAGAATAGCAGTACTGAAAATGCATTTGTTGTTGTTGCATTTCAGACACAAACATAAATAAAGCAGTGCTGCAAGGAGCACGTATGCTGAATGCACATAACAGAGAAGGTTCAGCATCTATCCTTATACTTCTCACAGATGGAGACCCAACCTCAGGTTATAATAAAACACATCTGTAAACAAATGTACACAAATATTTCATGAAACCGAGATCTTTATGAGCTTATTGTGGTTAAAAGTCCTGATTTATTATGAATTATGAGACTACATTGTTTCTGAGCTGAACTGGGTATGTCTCGTCTCTTTTCAGGGGTGACAAATCTGGAGAAAATCCAGTCAAATGTAAGACAGGCTATTGCAGGCAAATTCCCACTGTACTGTCTCGGTTTCGGTTTTGATGTTAATTTCAATTTCCTTGAGAAAATGTCGCTGCAAAATAACGGTGTGGCACGACGGATTTATGAAGACTCTGATGCTGATTTACAGCTGAAGGTATTTAAATTATGCATGCTCTTCTTTTATGTGATTTGAAACCCCTGAGAATTGAAAGAAGAAAAAAGCATGATTTGTATCACTTCCACACTGTATGTCAACAGGGTTTCTATGAAGAGGTGGCCACACCTCTACTGACAGATGTGACAATGATCTATGTGGGTGGGACCAATCTAACCCAGACTAACTTCAGTCAGTATTATAATGGCTCTGAGATTGTGGTAGCCGGTGAGATCACAGATAATAACATTGAAACCTTCACCCCTCAAGTTGTGGCTATTTCAGTAAGAATCAATCCACAGGACTCATCAGCAGAACTCTTCTCAAAACCTTTTTTGTGATAGACTGACATTACAATTAATTTATTACAGAGTAATAGAAGAATAATGTTCTCTAACCCAAATGAAACCGTGGAATCCACTGGAACAGTGTCTGATGACCGTATCCAGAGGGTTTGGGCGTACCTCACAGTTAAACAGCTTCTGGACAAAGAGTGAGTTTGACTTACAACATCTTTCCACTTTTTTTCTTTTCAAGTGATGAGCTTATTTTAAAGGGTAGTTGTTGATTGGCACAGCAAAGCTGAGATTTCGGGTAAGGCTCATCATAATTTACCTGAGCCTGAAGAAGAAATGGTTTGTTCAGTCCAAGGCCCAAAAGATTCTGTTTTACACACCTTTATATATTTGTTAGGAAAATACTGCACAGTTTCCAGTTTTAATGGTGATATGAGATGGTAACAATCTTACCACCATATTCTATTTAATTTATTTGTGTACTTTTTAACCGGTTGACTCTGGACTAAAGGCTGGTTTCCAAAGTAAATTTATTTCTTCAACTCTGGGGTGTCACAGCTGTTGCGATACAGCTGCAAATCCTTCTTGAAGGAAGTAGTATATTAATTTATCCATGTTCATAATTCAAACAGCCTTTCAGGTTTGTAACCCTATATTAATATTTTCAAAACACTGGATTATCTTTGGACATGGAAACATTTTTTTTTAATTACTTAATTACATTTGATTTCTGTGTCAAACCCCTTATTCGTTTAATCCTTTGTGACACAGGCTTCAGTTATCTGAAACTGAGAAAGAGAAAGTGAAGAAGGAGGCTTTGGAGCTATCACTGAGGTACAGTTTTGTGACCCCTCTCACATCCATGGTGGTTACAAAGCCTCCCGGAGAGAACACAGATGTGCTTCATAAACCCAAGGAAGGTGAAACACCACAGAGAAGGCATTTCACTGGAGGTTATTAAAAGATTATTAAAATTCAAGTATTTAATTTGGATCAATTCACTTAATTATTTGTTGTTTCTCTGTCACATAAAAGAGAACCAATGAGTATTTATAATTTAACTACTAGAAAAGGTAGAAAAATTGAAAACTAAACAGTTATGTAATAATATAAATTATTAATTTTTATTATTACTTGTAATAATAGAAATTATTACAAGTAAAGTTTCTATTTAGTGTTTTGTTGGTGATTAAATATGAGAATAGTGATGCCTTGCCTGAAATCATACAATATTTGCCAGAACTTTGCAATATTCTTGTCTGAATTTTTTGTAGTTCCTGTTAACCGCAGGACCAGGATCCAACATGTTCCTGTTCATGGTATAAAGCGTATTTTTACATTGTATTGCATGGATGGTATATTGAAAATACAAGAAGTTTTTTTTTTTGTTCTTTTTTACACGATTTGGTTTTTATTATTATTATTTTTCCTTTTGAGCTTTTAGTGATGTATTGTCTGAAGCCATACAGTATTCACCAGACTTTTGTGATATTCTTGTATGTAACTAATGTTGTCTGAATTTTTTTGTAGGCACGAGTATGGCCAAGTTCAAACATGCTCCTGTTAAACCCCCCAGGCATCAGGCCCCTGTTCGTGTTTTAAAGAAAAACACTCGTGGTATAGTATTGCATGGATGACATACTGAAAATACAAGACATGTCTTTCATATGAATAGGATTTATATGACTTTTTTTCCTTTTTATGTTTTAGAGGTCCAAACTATATGTCTGGCTCCTTCAATTAAAATTCACTCCTTACTTCTTTCATTTCTCTTTTTTGTGTGTGCACATCTTAATTTTCAGCTATATAGAGCAGTTACAAGATGTTATCAAATAATAGAAATTATTAGAATCACATTAAGTGTGTTTTTTGTTTGAGGTTGAATATGAAAACAGTGATGTCTGAAGTTATACAAAATTCACCAGAGCTTTACAAAATTCTTGTGCGTAACTAATGTTGTCTGAATTTTTTTGTAGTTACACTCAGGAGTGGACTTCTAGACACTTCTAGTCATTTTCCACTGGCACCTAAAGGTATAGTATTGCATGGATGGCATACTTTCTTTTTTCTTTTGATAGAATTAAAGATTTTACAGGGGATTTTATACATGGCATCTCCAGGTTAAACTCATGATACTTCCCCAACTGATGACTTAAAGCAGGCTTGGCCAACTCCAGGCTTTGAGGGCCGGTGTCCTGCAGGTTTTAGATCTCACCCTGGGTCTACACACCTGAACTTCAAGACATGTTGAGGACTTAAATCAGCTGTGTCAGATCAAGGACACATCTAAACCCTGCAAGACACCAGCCCTTGAGGCCTGGATTTGGACACCACTGACTTAAACAAAGGAAATTGATTTTGTTAATGTAAATTTGCCATAGAACAAAGTGTGTATTTATTGCTTGATGTTTAATATAAGAACATACATGTTTTGTCCAAAGTCATACAATATCCATCAGAGCTTTGCAATATTACTGTGTGTAACTATTGTCTAAATTTGTTTGTAGCTCCTGCTCCCCGTGTCCATGTGTTCCCGTTCTTCTCTATAGCTGCCAATGTCCCACAGGCAACTGATGGTATTGTATTTTATTGATAGTATAAAGATAGATCCTCAGAGAGGATTTTGTAAATGGCATTTACAGGTTAAAATGTAAACAAAAACATATCATCACGATACTTCCTCACATGATTACTTAAACAAAGAAAATGATTTGTATTTAGTCTATTTTCTAAAACTGTGTATCTGTGGCATGAGGTGTTGTTCTTTTATAGATTTATAAAAATTAATTTCCATGTTTAAAAAAACCTGAATTTGTTTTTTCAATGTTTACTACCCAAAAGAAGTAAAGTGACTAAAATGTGAAAACAGTAAAGTTGGTGTTGAATGTTAAGCTTTTTATTTTGAGGAACAGAGTTTCTATATACTGACTCAGTGTGTCTATGTGTATCTAGTTCCTCTTCTTCACAGGTTTTTAATAAACACTGAGAATCAGACTGTTCCATTGTGCTTTGATGTCAGTGGCTCACTACAACTTAAACTACTTCACCATCCCAGTGAGGGTCAGTAATGTTAACTTTTCCTAATTTAATGAACCCTGATATATTTTTTCTTTTCATGCATAATAAAATCTTACTATTCTAATTTCTCATTAGCATTTTAATATAATCCCCAATTTGTGAAGTGTGTTAAGAGCTGCATTTCTCTTTTGTTCCAGAGCTGTTTGTGAATGGTGAGCTTGATTCAGTTGTGAATGGAGGCTTCAACAGTATTTTTATACACTTCCAAACTGACCATCATGTTGAGATTGACTCCAGGGGCGTGACTGTACAAGGACAGACAGTGGCACATCACACTGGGCAGGATACCATCACAGCTGGGAGGTAATCTTGCAATATAATGGTACAAACTCATGTTCTCAGTATTGTATACAGATATGTAACTTCACTTTTTCCAAGAAGTATAGGAGATGACGAATCCTAAATTAGCTTACATGTTTCAGACTGAATATGTCTGTGAAGGTTCTCAGTCATCCAGGTCATCGTAGTCAAAGGAGCTTGCAAAGAAAAGCGTCTGGACTTCTTTAAGTTACTTGAAGACGTTTCACCTCTCATCCGAGAAGCTTCTTCAGTTCTAAGGTCAAATGGTGGAGAGTCCCAGATATAAACCTAGTGGGAGTGACCCCCCACAGAGGGACAAAAGGACCCCCTGATGATCCTCTAATCGCCTGAGCCAAGGTGGGAAACTGGGTGTGGGTCCCAATCAGCCAGAGTTTCGGGTGTGTTCATTGTGAAACCTGGCCCCACCTTATCATGTGAATTCCTGAGGTCACATGGCCCAGGATGTGAGTGGGCGTTAAGGCGTCTGGGAAGGGATCTCAAAACTGGATTATAGATGGCAGAGAGTTGGTGTCGTAAACCCCCGCCTCTGTTCAAAGATGGTCGCTCACAGTGGACATAGATGGCTTCTTTCACTCCTCTTTCAAACCATCTGTCCTCTCTGTCCAAAATGTGAACATTGGCATCCTCGAAAGAGTGTCCTTTATCCTTAAGATGCAGATGGACTGCTGAGTCTTGTCCTGTGGAGGTGGCTCTTCTGTGTTGTGCCATGCGCTTGTGAAGTGGCTGTTTGGTCTCTCCAATGTAGAGGTCTGAGCATTCCTCGCTGCACTGTACAGCATACACCACATTGTTAAGTTTGTGTTTTGGCGTTTTGTCTTTCGGGTGAACCAGTTTCTGTCTGAGCGTGTTGCTGGGTCTGAAGTACACTGGGATGTCATGCTTGGAGAAAACTCTCCTGAGTTTCTCTGATACACCGGCTACATAGGGGATGACAATGTTGTTGCGTCTGTCCTTCTTATCCTCCCTCGCTGGTGTCTGGTCTTCTTTTCTTACTGAACAAGAGTTTTCAGACTTTTCAGACTCAACAAGAGAATAAACACGCAACAAATGGAGTTATCACAGATTTTTATTTGTACCAATTAAACATATGAAATGTTTTTAGTGAGATCTAGTTTGGTAAGCAGACCCTTCAACAAGGTTAGTAGTTTACAAATGCAGAGCAAATTGGCTGCACAACATTATTCTTATAATGCTTTTTAAAACTCATGCTTACATTAAAGGTTCTGTACACCCACAAAAGTGGAACAATTTTTTTTGTCAGTGACAGAAACTCTTCTCATCTTCAGAATTACAAGATTCATCTTTGTTGGTGTTCGTGTTTGTACATCTTGGTCACTTTCTCCTTAGCTTTGTTTTGGGAAACAATTTTCATCTTTCATTTCATTATAATCCATAAAATTGTGGCCCTTTGTAATGCCTTTAATAGTTTTGGAAGTGTAATCTGAACACAAGGCTGTCAGGAGCCCACTGCAGCATTTGGCAGGCGGTGCCTGCTAATTGCAGAAAAAAAGATTTAAAAAAGGTGGTAAATTTTTAAAACAATATTATTCCTATTACTACTTATCTAAGCAAATTACGATTTAGGACGTTATGATAAATATGAAACGATTGAGAGTAACTATTTTTTTCTTTGGCAATATAGCATCAAATTATGTCACCTGTTAATTTCTGAAATTTTGTTTTAAAGCCTGGAATTTAGTTGGAAAGATGAGATGTGATAAGGAGGGGTAGGCCTGACTGGGAAACCACACACTTACTGGCAAATGACTTTTAACTGATAACTCATTAGCCAATGATAAATGGACCAGTTTTTACACAGCACTTTTCTACTCTAATGCAGCACACAAAACTATACAACTTGCCTCATTCAACGATATTCCAATATGAATGGAGAGCAACTTCACATTACCCGCAAAAGAGCATCTGATGTTGGATGCTGTGCATCTTTGAACGTGTTGCCTGTGGAAAAATAGGCCTATAGTATGTCTTGACTGGTGTAACTAAAGGGATCTTGTGAGACTAGCAAACCTTTCAAGTTTCAAGATGAATTTGCTCTTAGGCATGATAGTCAGCCTGTGCACCCTCTCATATTACAGAAGTTTCATTATTATTGTATTATGTGCAGAACAAAAATCTGCCAAAATATGTGAAATGCTCAGAAACTTTACAGAGCTTTAAAAAGTTCAAATAAACTCCATATCCTTGCAGTATGACAGTGGTTGTGAACAACAAGAAAATACATGTTACAGCTGGAAAGATGCGCCTGGTGATCTTAGTTCATGAGAAGAATGGCAACAAATTCCTTTGGCCAGTTTTAAAAAAGCATCGCTCGGCCAACGACTCTGAAGGACTTTTAGGTGAGTGGAAGGTTATTGTGTATGTGTGAATATTCACTGCATGAGCTGGAAAATTGTGTATATACAGTAGTTAAGAAAAACCCGTTTACAACCAGCAGTGGTGTTTTCTGTAAAAATATCTTGATGCTGGGTCTGTTTTAGTATCTGATTCTAAATGTCAGGTCCTATTTTATTGTTTTACTCCCTTTTTCCAGCTGTAAAGCCTGCAGTGTATGAGGTGGTGCAGCAAGTTCCTGTCACAAAACTAAAGATTAAAAACCAAGAGATAGATGTTACAAGGTAAATTTTTTGTAATGTTTTCAGTTTCTTCATTCAAAACAGAAAGCCGTTTAAGATTCCACCTATAATCTTTTTTTCTCCTTTTGTAGTGACAACGCTACTGATTACAGCATCGACCCTCCTGTCACAAAGAACTGCTGGCTTATGTCTGCTGACTCTGCCCTGCAGAGGCCACTGGCAGATTTTTCCGTGGCACAACTTTAAGTGTGAACTGTGCTGAATTACAAACATGAAGAAATAAAAAGTATCAGTTTAAAAAAAGAGCATTTTGAAACTTATTCAGTGTTGGTCTCAGAATGTATGTCTATGTAATGGGAAAGGCTTTAGGACCCAGGGCATCAAAGGAAGGTAATAAAAGAGGAAGTAGCAGAAAGTGTCTTCTTCTGTTTAGATGTGTAGTCGTTGAAAATTGTGGTTTTGGGATGTTACAATGTTTTGAAGTCCATGCTGAGTAGATCGCGTTGTCATTCAAGCACTTTGCGATAATACTGCCCTTCAGTATGATTCAAGTAATGAGTGAAAGGACATTAATCATGTTGTGCAGCAAGCATAGTCAGTTGGAGGATGGGCTGCACATGTGATTGTGCCACTGTTTTTCTTCTCTCTAGTTTGTTTTAGAGTGAGGGTCGTATTTTAAAACTGATTCTTTTTTCCTTGGTTTTGTCTTTATGTAAACTGGACCTGCTGCAATATTAATTAAGAAATGTCCAAACACCTCACAGCAATGTGCCACCAATTATTTCCTTAGCAAAGCACTTAGTGGATGTAATAAGTGTCCCCATGTGATCGCATTTATTTAGGGTGGATTTGGTTAAAGAAAAGCACCCATAATTTTTCTGCTGGCTAGATTGAGTTATTAGGTGATGCTACATTGCTGGCAGGTTGCACCATTAAAAGTACTCTGTAAATCATTAGTGGCCTTTGACTGTGATAGTCACATTTTATTGCAAATCCTTTTTAGTCATAAAATTGTATAAAGGTTTGGTGATACTGACCTCTTATCCGGTTTATTCTGGACTCTGGTGGTCCCTGCATGATATTCTGACTGGGAGTTTGTATGACAAGGTTTACAGAAGGTCTTTAATCCTCCACAGTCTACTTACCATATCTTGTCTACACATTCCCTCAAATTGTTTTCGTTTAGTTTTGAGCCTTTGTTAAGGCCAGATCCCATCCAGGAATGTTCCAGAATTTTTTCAACCACAAACATTTGTGGCCACATGTATTCATTGGGTAAGTCCAATGAATACATGTGGCCAAATAAAATGGTAAGGGCATGTGCAATGCTAACAAGGTTGTAAAGCACTTACACCTTTGATGATGACTCCAACACTGTCCAGGTCATCTATGGTTTCTTCATGTTCACGTTTCATGGCCAAGATGGCCAGGATTAAATTCATTAAAGGCTTGCCTAATTTGTTTGAAGATGAAAGTTTGTTTCCCTCGCACCAGGATCATTTTGGTTTTTTGGGCAATGTCATTTGTCAAACTTAAATCAACCAAAGGTGGTCTGTATTTTTACACATTACAGACACCATAAAAACATTAGTGTCATGATGCTCAGTCGTTTTGTATTTTTGCAAGGTAAACACAGCAAAACCATCAGGATGAACAGTACTTACGTACTGTTATTCAAAACCTCCACATTTAATAACAGATTAATACGTTAGCTTGTTAAATATTTCCTGGACTCCAACATTTCTTCTTGGAGAGTTTTGAAGACACCACCAAAGAACCGCATGGCTATTTATTGATAGACCTCACACCAACCTGCCCAGAGTGGGGATATTGCCTGAAAAGCAGCTTTGTCTTTTTATTTTACGAGGAAAAGTAACCAAAGAAACCAAGGAAATAACCATTACTTTTTCCAAAGACACTGATAGAAAAAGTTTGGACTCTGGATTAGAGCCTGGTACTGACAGTTTTTGATGATGTCTTTTTTTTAATCTATCTGCTCATCTCTGGTCTGGGCCGCTCCTTATTGATGCATCTCTCTCAGGCTCGTATTAATCTTGGGGGTGACAGTCAAAATCAATACTGCCCAGTCAGAGGTTGTCAAAGTGACTCTGGTTGTTAGCAGTTTAGAAACTTCACGACTTTTAACCGGTAGAGCTTCAGTTCTGGGGCAGAATTTAAAGCCCATTGTTCTTCCAGAGTTTTTTCAGCTGTTTTATGGACTCTGCAAACATATATCCAAAGCTGCACTGGCACCATTGTAAATGCCCTGTTGTTTGTGTTGGGTGTCTCTGGCTGAGCAGCAAAATGTTGCAGGGCCTCATGGGCACAATGGTGAAAAGTTAAATATTGTTTACACACACACACACACACACACACACACACACACACACACACACACA